GTCCCCCCCCCGGGGGGTTTTGTGAACTGTCCCAAAGGGGCTTTTGTTTTCGTGGCCTTCTAGACTTCTGAGGTCTTGCTTCTGTGTGTAAATTGAATAGAATTTACTATAGAGACGGAAGGCAGGGTTTACTCCCCAGCAACAGCAGGTGAATTTGATGGGAATGGGTGGTATTGCTAACACCTTCCCACTCTCTCTCCTACCTCATCTCAGCCTCTCACCGTCAGGGGGCTTCTCTCTCCTCTTTCCTTCCCTGTCCATCTGCTCCCCCTCCCTTTCCCTCACAGGAGCCAAACCCGACAAACCTCCCTAATCTCCAGCAGAGCAGGTTTCCCCTCCTCAAGGTGTCATCTCACTTTACTTGCTCATCAACAGCTCTCCCCCAAGGAGACACTCCTCCTCACCCCTCCCAAAGAGGAACTGTGGGGCCAGCTGTTAGGATTTTTTTTTTTAAAGTTTTTTTTTTCACACCTTTACATGAGATGGGAAGATCTCTGGAGTTTAATTAAAATGATAGAGCTGAGATTAGACCTGGTAAACTGGCTCTACTGTGGTGTTTATATTTTTAAATTCCTTTGCTCTATATGGTATTTTATAATAATGAATATTTGGGCACTTCTTGATATGTATAGAATTTTAATAAACAATGTTCAAAATTGTAAAGCATTAGTGAGAAGATCTAGGCTTTATTCCTATCTTCCATCAATGATTCACACCAAAAGGTGGTTCAATGGAGCCGCTGCAACGAGGCAGCACTAGAACTGAATGCCTGAGAGGAAATCAGGTATCCTTTTAAGGGGTGGGCTCTGAAAACTCAAACCTATGAAATAATAGAAAACATTATAAGCTCACAGCAATACTTGTCGATTTGAAGCTGTTTCCCTCAGAATGTTTCTCTTTTTAGACAGAACTCTAATATTGGAAGGCTCTAAGTCCTGAGAGGGGAAAAGCGAATGGTCCCAGTGGCCTAATAGCCACAGTCCTGGAGAGATGGCCTAAGGAATATTCTTTGTACTTTTACACTTCTGTGCTTTTTTTTCTCTTCCACCCTTTACATTCACAAAGCTTTAACTTCTCCAATATCACGTGCCCCCTTTTCTATTTATGGGGTGGGGTAGGGCAAGAAATGCTCAGGCTTTCAGGTCTCAGGAACCTCTTGGGCAGACTTTGGGGGTCTGTCCCTCTCGTCTTTGCCTTTTAATGTGTTCTCCTAAGTTCTGCCTGTTCTCTAGTTTCTCTAGTTCCTCCTGAAATCCTCCTCAATACACCTGTCTAAATGCTATGAGAACCTTCTATCAAATGAATATGTAAATGTTGCCGTTGTAATGACATCTTGGCTGTAGAGTCCACCAAACTCTACAGCTGCAGTTATCAGAGTTTTATTTACTCCCTACTCTCCTTGGTCCCCTACTTGAGTTTCAATATCCATTTCTTCTTCAGGCCCCACATCCAGAGTTTCTTCATTTTCTCAAGCATCTTGCACCACTTAGGAGGGTGCTTGTTTCCTAGGAGGTATGGGGCCTGCGGTGAGGACAAACTGCCACCTTGTGGAGAGCGGGCCTTGGTCACACTCACCCTGTGGCCCAAACAGCCAGTTATCACGGGAATCAGCATCCAGTCAAAGGTCCTCGCATACTTTTGGAGGGTTTAATTATGCCTATGTTTCTTAGCAAAACTACTAAACATAAATAGTGATTGTAATTAGTATATTTACATAAACAATACAAGTAGATCAATACAGTCACGCACTTCATTTATTAATAGCTTAATTGTTCTTTATCATTGTTTAATTTGTTCTGGTTTCCCTTTGGGCTTTAATTAGCAGTACAACTTGTAAAGTTTTTAATTTATAACAAATATTTTAACTTAAGCAAGCCCTGCTAGTATGTGACAGATGGTTAACGTCAAAAGCCCAAGGAGAAGGCTTCTGTTTAGCCTTTGGTTTTTGTTGTTGTTGTTTTGCTTCTTAAGCCAGAGAAACGTTTGACTGTGCTGATAATTCATAAGCATACATCACCGTCAACTTCTATCGTCCTTCAGTCCCCTGATCTCCCCCAGATTTCTCTCCTACTCCTGGCTTCGGAGGGGCTAGGAAACCAGACAGAAGCATGCCTGAATGGCCTGTGTGATAAGCCTCATAAAGTTATTTTTCTCAATTAATGGTTTTCACTGACAATTTTACTGCTCTGCTTTAAGCATTCCCATTCCCTTGGGCATTTGTACATCTGCCTGTGATAAGCCTCATCCGGCCCAACAAAATTGGTCTCTCAGAATACAAACTGCCCTATTTTAAAAAGCTCATCTCTCTCTCTTTTTGAAACTAATAACACTTGAACATAAATTTAAACAGAAAGTAATAGGGCCTTAAAGCAGAACCATCAAAGTGATTTACTCGTGAGTACATACGCATTCTCCTCCCAGTCGACATCCATTTGATGTTCATTTTCCTTGCCTGTGTATCCTCAGCTTTTTTTCTAAATCTTTACTAATAATACGAACTTTTTATTCCACTCTTATTCCCTTCTACTTTGCACTAAAGACTCATATGTGCTCAAAAGGATCCATTGGGGCCAAAGAACCACGGTTTGGAAAACTTGGCTATGAAATGATAATGCTCCCTCGACACAATTACTGACTTTATTAGGTCGTCAATTAGCTATTTTTTTCATTAGGGAAAGAAAAGTTCTGAATTCACTTTTTCTGAAGTCACTTGAAATGCGCTGTTTTGATCATACTCCGCTGGTAGCAGAAAAGACATGGAAAGCGCACCTTTTTCTTAGGTCAGTGGAACCTTCACTCTATAGAGAAGTAATTTCTGTAGAGAGGTTTCTATAGCTCCTTCTATCCCACCCCCAAAAGGACTCGTAGCAGAATTAAAACCAAGTGATAACAATGTTCCCTTTCTATTGTATAGGTCTCAAAGCAGAAGCATACACATCAGTTCATCTAATCATTTCTTTTTTACATAGGTGAGAAAACGGGGGCTCAGAGAGATTAAATAAAGAGCAAATCCAAGGTTACACAGCTTGTCAGTTAGTTTCAGAGAGCAGGATTTAAACCACCGCTTGATGATTCTGATTGAAAAAACAAATTAAGTTTCACAAATAGGATTAGAGGCCCAGCGATTTTCATTAACGTTATGATGGGGAATCTTGAAAGCAATACTCACCAGTGACTGTGCTTTTCTGAGCTTAGATCTGCCCTGCAATTTATTTCTCTTATCATGTGACTGTCGGCTGGGATCTGGGGTCATTTCTTGTCTTTTCTTTCTTCTGTAAGTTGGAAAGCATTGGAGAAATGACAAATAATCCTTTTAAAACTTTGTCCATTTGACTGTTCCTGTGATTTAAAAGATTATCTTCACTAAACTGGAAACAAGCCAAATGTCTATCAATAGAGAACTGGTTGAATAAACTCTACACCCACACAATGAAGTGTTATAAACTGTAAAAAGGAAGGCAGAATATTTCTAAATACAACTGTGGAGTGGTCTCCAGCATATATTGTTACACAAGAAAAGGAAAAGTGGATAAAGTGGTATGTACTGTATACTACTACTTATTTCAAAAAAGGGTGTGTGTGTGTGTATTTGTTAATTTTTTTCAAATGGAAGGATTACACCATAATGTTTTAAAAAATGGTTACCCATAAGTAGAATTCCCGTGTGACCCGATCAGGCACAAGGAACCGTATGGAAGGGTAGGAGCAGAAGCTAGACTTCTCCACACGTACTTTGTTTTGTTTATTTGACTTTGGAACCATCTCAGCTTTTCTCAAAATTGTAAAATAAAATGAAGGATGAAAATCTCTAAAATTTGAAAACAAAATGAAACAAATGATCTTGTCTATTGAGTTGGTGGCATTAGCACATGGAAGACTTACTTCCTGGGGCTTTAACACAGTAATCTGTCTGAATATTTTTAGTAGAATATATCCTAAGGACAAAAAATAGGCAAAAGAATCTTAAATTGTTTTCAGTAATCCTATTGTTTGTATTAATATTTGTTTTCTAAAACTATTATATATATTAGGATAAAGTAGGGATGAGCAAACCATAGCCCAGAGGCCAACTGCAGCCTGATGCCTATTTTTGTAAATAAAGTCTTATTGGAACATAGTCATGCTAATTGTCTATGGCTGTTTTCAGGCTACATTGGCAGAGTTGAGCAGTTGTGACATATGTTCTTCAAAGCCTAACATATTTGCTGTCTGGCCCTTTCCAGAAAAAGTTCACCTAAAGTAATGGATCTAGGCAATGATCACCAGTGGCCACTAAAATCACAAAAAAAGATAGACAAGAAATTATGTTCCTCATGATGGGAATACATGATCAATATCTACTCAAGCCTCTAGATCTTACCACCAGTATTGACAAATACAGGAGACAGAGGAACATGTGGTGTTGGGAGTACAATAGCAAAATTCAGAAAGTGAGAAGCTCTGTAGGATAAATGACTGATTTCTATCACAAACAAATTACAAGAGAAAGAAAGAAAGAAGGAAGAAGAAAAGAAAAGAGGGGATTAAAAAAAAAAACACCTAAGTGACACATGGACCAAATGTAATATGGAGACTTTATTTGAAACCTGACTAAACACACTAACTGCTTAAAAATATGCACCCCCTATATTCATAGCTAAGATCTGGAAACAGCCCAAGTGCCCATCAGTAGATAAATGCATAAAAAAAGCTGTGGTACATTTACACAATGGAATACTATGCAGCTGTAAAAACGAAGGATCTCTTACCCTTTGAGACAGCATGGAGGGACCTGGAGGATATTATGCTAAGTGAAAAAAGCCAATTGGTGCCCGGTCGGGCATGGCTCAGCAGTTGAGTGTTGACCTAGGATCCAGGCAATCGGGGTTCAATTCCCGGTCAGGGCACATGCCTGGGTTGCGGGCTCGATCCCCAGTTGGGGGCGTGCAGGAGGCAGCCAATCAATGACTCTCATCATTGATGTTTCTCTCTCTCTCTCTCTCCCTCTCCCTTCCTCTCTCTGAAATCAATAAAGCTACATTAAAAAAAAAAAAGAAAGAAAAAAGCCAATTAGAGAAAGACAAGTATCACATGATCTCACTCATATGTGGAATCTAATGAACAAAATAAACTGATGAACAAAATAGAACCAGAGACACGGGAGCATGGGACAGGTTGACGAATCTCAGAGGGAAGGGGGGGGGGCAAATAACTTATATGCAAATATGCATAACCCAAGGACACAGACAATAGTGCTGTAGGCCTGGGGAGGGGGACAGGTGTGGGGTGGAAGGGGGGATATATGTAATACTTTGAACAATAAAAAAATTTTTTAAAAAAAGAATCGTAATGCCAACTGAACGATAAAAAATATCACTTATGAGACATTCAAGGAATAACTGACTTGATATTTAATTGATTCTATTAAGAAATCATTCATTGATTTAGATGTGATATGGTATCAAGTTATGATTTTTAGGCAGAGTATTTTCTAAGGATATGAATTGAAACATGTATGAATGGAAAAATATGACATTTGGATTTGTCTCAAAAATAACCCAGGAAGGGCAGAGTGGGTGAAGAATAAATGAAACCAGATTGGTCACAAGTTGAAACCTGTTAATGGCTCCAGAGTGTACACACTGCTACTATCCTACGCTGCCTTGATGTTCGTCTGTTGAAATATGTTTTCATTCATTTTTACAGTCACCTAGTGCTCCACTGTGTGAATGAGCCATACATAATTTATTCAACAGTCTCCTATGTATGAGCATTTAAGTTATTTCCAATATTTTAAAATGATAAACTGTGCTGCAAAAATATTCTTGTGCAGATATACTTATGGTATTTTCCAGGTTGATTCCTAGAAGTGGGATTGCTGGGTCAAAATGTAAATACATATGTATTTTTGCTAGATATTGTCAAATTTCCCTCCATAAAGTCTGCGCCAATTTCTATTCCCACCAGCAATGAGTAAATTCTATCAGCGTTTGCTCACAGCCTCACCAACAGAACATAGTAAAAAACTTTAATACTAAAAAAATACTAAAAGACACTGTAATGTTAAATCATTACAGCTATAAAATAAAATAAATCCCAATGAACAGGGTGAATTTACCAATTACAGTTCATTTACTTTTCTATTACTTTTTACTTCTAAGTATGGAAGAGCACTCATATATTCACAGTAAGTTCTATTTTCATCTTTTCATATGGAAGCGCCAGCAAGTTGTTTCTAAAAGCAAACAAGTGAAGAAGGACATGGAGCTCTCACCCTTGCCAGGTCTGCTCAAAGGGGTCACAATTGTCCAGGTAATTGAAGCGAATGATATCAGTGGGATGCTTGTCAGAGGACCGCCAGGGTGGGAGTTCTTTCTCCCCTGGGTGATTCTTCTTTCTCAAAGAGGAAGAAGATCGGAAAGCTGAGGAAGGTGACTGCTTTTCCTCTGGAGAGCTGCCAGTCACTGGTTGAACATCAGCAATCACAAATCCATCTTTAGGAGGAGTCTAGAAGGAGAAAATTAGTTATTTCTGTTCTTAAAACAAAGAATATCATGATTATCGTCATCCCCACGATGGCAGTGACAATGGTGACAATGATTACAGCAGCCATTGACCCAGGAGTCCTTGCTCTGTGCCAGGCACTGTCTTGGGAAGTTTTCATGCATTATTTTATTTAACCTTTATAATAATTCTAAAAGGTAATCATTATTACTCCTATTTTATTTTTATTATTTTTTAAAATATATCTTTATTGATTTCAGAGAGAGGGAAGGAGAGGGAGAGAGAGATAGAAACATCAATGATGAGAGAGTCATTGATCGAGCCCGCAACCGGGGCATGTGCCCTGACCCGGAATCGAACCCCGATCACCTGGATCCTAGGCCGATGCTCAACCGCTGAGCCACGCCCGGCCGGGCTATTACTCCCATTTTAAAGAAGAGGAAACTGAAGATAGGATAAACCAATTAATTGTCCGGCTACTATATAAGTATTAAGACACAGGGTCAGAATTTGAATCCAGGACTGTCTTGACTCAAGTTCACGCACTGAAGCTGTCTATCGGCTACTGTCACCTCCTCTCCCGCATCAGTGTATAGTTTTTCCACAACTGTAATTAATTTATCCATTAAAATGTATACATTCAAAAAAAGTACTCCAGCCCTAATTACCTATAACCCATATAGACAATTTCAAGTTATATAGGGGTGGTCTATAGATTTTTATCAATTATCAAAACCTCATCCACTCTCCCCAAATACTTTTGCTTTAATTTCCTAAATTGAAAGTCTATTTTTGTATGTGAAATTCATAAGGTTTTATGGGGTTGTAGCCTAAGGGAAATGGTATTGGTATGTTGAGAAGCCATTAAAGGCTTAATTTCTGTTCTTTAAGAGATTAGGAAAGCTTTGCTTGGTGAATTGGTTTGTTTGAATTGCTTGTGAAAATTAAGAAATTCCCCAGTGCCTCCAAGCAGAATCAGTTAGTGTCTTATTCTTGTTTCAACTGCTCTTTGTATATATTTCTATTACAGGAGAGCACTTAGTACTCATTTATTTGTCTGTGTCCTAGGTCACTAGACTAGGCTCCTTGGAAGCATGGTTGAGATCACTGTACTCACAGCACCCAGAACATAACAGTTTTTAAAAAATATTTGTTCATTTAATGAATGATTATAGTCTGGTAGATTAAGAAGAGATTTTATATTTATATAACTGATAGCTCATTATTGGTTTACTAAGTAGTTTGTGCAGGTCTCATTTTGAATAAACATTTATTCCATTTCTCTGAGCTTATACTGCATAAAATGTCTGCTTTGGCTAAAGGAAGTCTAGTTTAACACTACTGGGAATAAATAATACATGATAATAAAAATCAATTTCAGGGGAAAACATCAGGCATAAGTGATAGTGATTACATATAAGTAAACATCATTAATTCTGAAAAATACAAAATGCTTGACACTTTAACATAATGGGTAATAATGAAAACTGTGATGACTCTTCTGTGTTAAGTAAACAAAATTTTTGTTCACCTAGTCTTTTTGAGAACTTTTAAAATCATGAATGCATGCTGATTTTTTTTGTTAAATACTTGTTTGCCTCTACTGAAATGATCACAAATCTTTTTTCTTTTATTCTGTGAATTACATTGATTGATTTTTTTTTTTTAATGTTTTACAGATTTGTGTGTCATCCTTGTGCGGGGGCTGTGCTAATCTTCTCTGTATCGTTCCTATTTTAGTGTGTGTGCTGCCAAAGCGAGTATGACTGACTTTGAACATTGTGCCAACCTTACTCTCCTTGGATACATCCCATTTGGTCATCGTGTATTATACATTTCTGGATTTAATTTGCTAATATTTTAAAAAGATGTTTATGTCTGTGTTCATGAGGGATATGGTCTGTGGTCTTGTTTTGTTTTCTTGTAAAATCTCTATCTGGTTTTGGTATAAAGGTAATGAGTTCAGAAGTGTTCTCTTTTCCTCTATTTTCTGAAACAGTTTATGTAGAATTAGTATCTCTTCCTTAATGTGTGATAGAGTCTACCAATGAAGCTTTTTGGGTCTGTAAGTTTTGTGGAATTTTTAAATTAAGAATTCAATTTTTAAATTGAAAAAGATTTGTTCATGTTTTCTACTTCTTATTGAGACTGTTTTGGTAATTTGTGGTTTCCAAGGATTGTCCATTTCATCTAGGTTGTTGAATTTAGGGACACAGAATTGTTCTTAATATTCTCTCATTAACTTTCTAATGTCTGCAGAATCTGTAGTGATGCCTCCCTCTTTCACCCCTGCTCCTAGTAATTTATGTGTTCTTTCTTTTTTCCCTTGATCAGTGTAGCTAGAAATGTATCAATTTTATGTTTTCAAAGCAGCAGCTCTGTTTTCATTGATTTTCTCTATTATTTATCTACTTTCCGTTTCATTGATCTCAGCTCTTTATTATTTCTTCCTTCTATCTACTTTGGGTTTAACTTACTCTTCTTTTTCTAGATGAAGCCTTTTTGAAATTATGCTTCTTGGAGCAGATAGTGTAGCCTTACAGACAGTTATGAAGATAATTCTAGTCCAGTCCTCTCATTTTAAGGTTGGAGTAACTAATATTAACCACTACCATCTGCTTTTAAAATGTTTTGATGCCAGATACAAAGTATTGGGGGGAAGGAGATGGTGACGGTGATTGAGGGAAGATAAATGATACTCTACTCTAGTGACTGACTGCCTGTGTGCACCATCAATGGAACAACCTCACAGGGAATTACGCAAATTATTCAAGTGTAGTGTTGCTGACAGTTGATTTTAAAATCATAGTCAGATGACTTTATTAACATTAGTCAGACGGTTTTATAACCTTAGTCTTTCTGACTAAGAAATAAAAATAGAATTACTAGCTGATTTTATTAACCTCTGTCCTTCTAATTTAGGTTTATTTCTTTAACAGGAAAACTAAAGTTTAATATAACTAAGTATTCCCTACAGAAATTTAATACTAAGCAAAGAGGTGGAAATTTTCTTGCATCAGAACTAGTCATTATTTTAAATATAGTTATGCAGAAATACTTTGTGGAAAAAGAGTTATTGCTGAAGACAAAGCATTGAAGTCAGTTTTATATATAATACTCAAAACCTCTTTCCATTCTACAACTTGGCTAATCACTTTTCTCTCCTCTGCCCCACAATAGCCCAAGCTGCAGCAACTGAATGCCATTCCCTGCCCACAAATAAAAATGAGAGTCAAGAAAAGCCTCATGAGAAAAGATGTCATAGCTACGGTGATTTTGAAAATAAGTTTTCCATCGCTACAGTTTAAAATAAAATTTTTTAAAGAAATCCTCATGGAGCACACTAATTACTTAAATTAGAAACACTAGTTTTATCATTGCAATTGTGACAATATTAATTATGCATAGTTTATTACTATATTAAATGTAAATGGACTCTACTTTCAGAAAACACAATAAAAGTAACCTAAATGGACAATTTAGGGGTTGACTATTTGTATTTCAAAAGGATTCTTCAATTTTAAAAGGATTCACTGCAGCTTTATCATAGAATACGATACTCCTGTGGTTTTAAAAATCATTTAAAAATTTAATTTACACACAATTTTTCAGGAACTCATTTATTGTACAAAATGGTGCACAACTCTGCATGTGTACAGACCATGCCATAAATAAAGGGCTCATAAAAATTTTCCATAAGTTACCTAATTAATTGCGACTATAAAAATAAACACTGGTTATAATGCATAGAAAACCACTAGAAAAAATATTCTTGGATTATTTACTTTTTATGATTATATGTAGTGCTTTACATTGGTAGTTTCCAGCTTAGAAAGAACTTTAATATGCCCATTATCCCCTTCTCTAATTACAGATTTACTGGAAAACTTTTCCTCATAAATGATACAAAAATAAACTTCAGCTCACCTAGAAGAATCATAGAAAATTTGAATAAGTAGAAGTTGATGACCCATACACAACAAATACTGCACATTACCCACAGAATCTAGGTGTCAGAACTGTCAGGGGTGTGAGAGGCAGGGATATGAAAATCCAGAACCTGGACAGAGTGAGGAGCCCCACAGTCCTAACCTCCTGAGTGGAACTGTGGTTTGGAGAGTCAGGTGAAGGCTCTCAATGGACACAGATATCTTGACAAGGGCTGTCAAGTTCTCAGAAAAAGACCATTTTGAAGTCATAGTATACTGTGATCATTTAGTCTTAGTTCTTGAATTCCTAGATAGCTGATGCTGGTAAGTTTGTTGCTTTTTGCCCCACATTTACCTTAGGCTTGGTAACATGAAGTTCTTTCACCATTTGAATATAGTGCTTCTTCCATATACCCTGCTCAAAGGGAGTTGGAGAGAAATTGATGTACCAGTTAAACCGTAAACATTTGAGCATCCAGAGCTGATCCAGCTCAGTTAAGTTCTTCCAGTGCCAGCTCACCTGGAAAAACGACAATTGGGGGG